TGTCTCGACATAGTCTTCGACGTAATCGTGCGCACCGCCTTCCAAGTACATGAGGGCCAGGGTAATCTTGTCGTCGTCCGTGGTGATGTTCTGAACGCGGAACCAAAGACCCATCTTCTGCAACCATTGTTCGAGAGTGATGTCCGAGCCTTTGTTGCCCTTGTACTTGGGTGGTTCTGATGCCTTGATACGCGAGGCCTGTGATACGACAGGGGCCGGTGCGGTACTGGTACCAAGCGTGGTGCGGGTTGATAGGCCTTGCTCCAACTGTGTAAACTTGGCCGCGAGTTCCTTATACCGTTTGACGAGCTCCGTGTTGTTCCGGTTGAGAACTTCCAGATCTGCATGGACAGTGACCAGTTCCGCCCTCAGCTGTTTGTTCTCTTCAACGGCTTTAAGAGCGAGGTTCCCAGCAGTGTCAGCCTTGGTGTGAAGGCCTGTCATAGACGTGTCCAACTCTTTGAAGGTGGCGTGGGTGGTGTCGATCTCATTGAGGAAGTTGTTCCGATGTTCATATATCTTGCTGCCGAAGACGTTGTAAACGTTAACTATTTCCCGCCGGGTGATATCCCTTGTCACAGAGATAGTCCAGTCGACGTAAGCTGGGTTGGTGATGCCTAAACTATTTGCCGAGGCGCGGATAGCATTTTCCAACGAGTCGTGCTCAACACCAGCGTAGATCCATTGAATTTCCGGGCACGCTTGGAGCGTGGCAGTGGGTGAAGCCGGGCGGGTGTGTGCCAGTGATGGAGCCGGGTGAGTGTGTGGCCCTGGATCTTCCGACTCAAAGTCGTCCTCTGCCAGAGGGGCGTAACGAGAGCCTGAAGCCATTGGTAGAAAACTATGCCTAATATAAAACTAAACGACGATCCAATCTAAGTACCCAAAACGTTCTAGCTCGACTAGAGCTTTGACAACACGCTCGAAGTTCTGTCCAAGTCCACTGAACTTGACCTTTCCAAACTCCTTGCAAAACCAGTCGATGTTTTGCTGCTGACTGCGTGTCCACGAAGAGCCATTTTCGATGTTGTCGAGTATCCACTCGAGTCTGTCACCGATGCGCTGAAGGGCGAGCCGATGATCGTGGGGGGTGTCAAGCAACTGATCCTTGCGATCGAAGATGGCTTGCAGTCTTTTGATGACGGTGTTGACCTTTGAGCTGATGATAGCGAGGAGGTCGACGGGATCACGACGTGCGAAGGAGGGAAGAGATGGTGCAGTGATACGGTACTGAAGAGGGACCGTAGGGATTGAGGGGACAAAAACTGGTGGGGGTGTGGTGAGACGTGCAGCGAGCGGTCTGTCGAGTGGCTGACTGGGGGGCACAGATGGTAGGAGGGCCTTGCGACGAGGGACGATCGGGGTATGCCGATACTGACGGCGATGACAAAGACGATCTGATGTATTGTCGGCAAGGGCGTGGTCAATCTGGGACTGGACGTCGAGGTGACCGTGTCTCTTGAAGTGACGACGGGTAAACTCCGGTAGGTCCGAGTTGGATGGAAGGATAGTGGGGGGGGATGATAAACGTTTCAAAAAACTCCTGGGGAGAGAGATCTGGTCCGCAAGTGGTTGAGACACTCCACAGAGGGGATGGGTAAGAGACTTGATCTAATGTCACAGCCAACGAGCTGTGCCACCAAAACAAACAAGGGCAAAGCTTACTGATGCAAAGGTTGGTGCTGAGAAGCGAAGCAACCAGAGATGACACAGCAAGAGATGTGAAGAGATGTATTCCCTAGACTAGAAGGGGTAGTGAGGGAGGTAGGGCTGCTAGCTACCTACAGAGGAGATGGGGAATCGACAAGAAGATCAAGTCTGAGGTTCCCTGCCTCAGACTCCCTACTATATATACTAATACAATGGTGCACAGACCAGGTACTTATTGACCATCGTTTGGTCAGAGTTCTCTGCCTCATGTCCTACCCTCTGACCTGCCTCATGGTGACCTTACGACTAATACCTGAGTCGTGCCGAGTCCGGACCCCTCCCAATGAGTAAGCGCTCCTGCTGTCAC